TGAGGCTGAGGCTGAGGCAGGCTGAGGCTGAGGCTGAGGCTGAGGCTGAGGCTGAGGCTGATGCAGGCTGAGGCTGAGGCTGAGGCAGGCTGAGGCTGAGGCTGAGGCAGGCTGATGCTGAGGCTGAGGCTGAGGCTGAGGCGATGCTGCTGCTGATGATGATGATGATGATGATGATGATGATGATGATGATGCTGACGAGGATGACGATGCTGGTGATGATGTAGATTATGGTGAGGATAATGCTTCTGCTACTGTTGCTGCAGATGATGATAATGATGTTGACGACGATGACGATGATGAGAATGCTGATGCTGATGATGATGCTGATGATGATGATGATGATGACCATGCTGATGATGATGATGATGATGATGATGATGATGATGATGATGAAGCTGATGATGATGATGATGATGTTGATGACGGTGCTGATGATGAAGCTGATGATGATCGTGATGGCGACGATGATGCTGATGCTGATGCTTATGAAGCTACTGATGCTAATGATTATGTTGATGCTGATTATAATGATGCTGATTCTGATGAGGATGATGATGACGATCGTGATGACCATGGTACATATGATGTAGATGATGATGCTGATGATGATGCTGCTGATGATGATGTAGTTACTGTTGATGCTGATGCTGCTGGTGAATTCTGGGCATGCTGATAACGATGATGATGATGATGATGATGATGATGATGATGATGATGATGATGATGATGATGATGATGATGATGATGGTGACGACGAGGATGATGAGGCTGCTGCTGCTGCTGATGATGATGATGATGATGATGGTGATTCTGATGAGGATGATGCTGCTGCTACTCTTGCTGCTGATGATGCTGCTGCTGATGAGGATGATCGTACTGATGCTGCTGCTATGATGATGATGATGATGTTGACGATGATGGTGATGATGATGCTGTTGATGATGATGATCATGATGACGATGATGATGATGATGATGATGCTGATGATGATGATGATGCTGATGATGATGATGCTGCTGCTGATGATGATGATGATGATGATGATGAATATGATGATGATGATGATGATGATGATGATGATGATGATGATGATGATGATGATGATGATGATGATGATGATGATGATGATGATGATGATGATGATGATGATGATGATGATGATGATGTGATGATGATGATGATGATGATGATGATGATGATGATGATGATGATGATGATGATGATGATGATGATGATGATGATGATGATGATGATGATGACGACCTTAGTGGTTACGGTGGTGGTGGTAGTGGTGGTGGTGATGATGATGATGATGATGGTGATGGTGGTGCTGCTGGTGGTGATGACGACGAGCCCGCTCCAGGCGCAGCGGCGCAGGACCGCCTGCGCCTTCGAGGCCTGGAGGGGCCACCTGCGGCTGCGGTCGGAGAGGCCTGCCCCCGCGCTCCCTCGGGCGGGGCGCGGGGCTGGGCGCCAAGCACTTCGGGGGGGGGAGGAGGAAGAGGAGGGAGGAGGGAGGAGGGAGGAGGAGAGAGATGAGAGAGGTGGGAGGAGGGAGGAGGGAGGAGGGAGGAGGAGGAGGAGGTGAAGAGGAGGGAGGTGAGGAGGAGGGAGGTGAGGAGGAGGGAGGTGAGGAGGAGGGAGGTGAGAGAGGTGGGAGGAGGGAGGAGGGAGAGGGAGGAGTAGGAGGAGGAGGGAGGAGGGAGGAGAAAGGACACGACGACGAGGACGACGACGACCCGCCGCCGCAGCCGACGCTGTCGCCGACGCCGACGCCGACGCCGACGCCGACTGCCGACGCCGACGCCGACGACGACGACGACGACGCCAACGCCGACGCCGACTGCCGACGCCGCCGCCGACGACGACGACGACGCCAACGCCGACGCCGACGACAACGACAACGACGACGCCGACGCCGACTGCCGACGCCGACGCCGACTGCCACCGACGCCGACGCCGATGCCGACTGCCGACTCCCGACGCCGACGCCGACGCCGACGCCGATGCCGACTCCGACGATGACGCCGACGCCGACGCCGACGCCGACGCCGACTGCCGACGGCGACGCCGACGCGGACTCCGACGACGACGCTGACGCCGCCGCCGACGCCGACGCCGACTGCCGACGCCGACGCCGTCGCCGACGCCGACGCGACGCCGATACCGACGCGACGACGACGCCGACGACGCCGCTGACGCCGACGACGCCGACGACGACGCCGACGACGCGACGACGCCGACGCCGACACCGACGCCGACGCCGACGCCGATGCCGACGGCGACGCCGACGCCGACGCCGACGCCGACGCCGATGACGACGACGACGCCGACGCCGACGTCGACGCCGACGCGACGCCGACGCCGACGCCGACGCCGACGCCGACGCCGACGCCGACTCCGACTGCCGACGCCGACGCCGACGCCGACGCCGACGTCGACGACGCCGACGCCGACGCCGACGCCGACGCCGACGCCGATGCCGACTGCCGACGCCGACGCCGATGCCGACGCTGACGCCGACGCCGTCGCTGACGCCGACTCTGCCGCCATCGGCGACGTTGTCGCCGACGCCGAAGCCGAAGCCGACGCCGATGCCGACGGCCGACGCCGACGCCGCCGACGGACGCGACGCCGACGACGATCCGCCGACGCCGACGCCGACGACGACGACGACCGACGCCGATGCCGACGCCGACGCCGACGACGCCGACGCGCGCCGACGACGACGACGCCGCCGACGACGACGCCGCCGACGCCGCCGACGACGCCGACGCCGATGCCGACACCGACGCCGACGCCGACGCCGACGCCGACGACGCCGATAACGATGACGCTGACGCGGACGACGCGGACGACGCGGACGACGACGCCGATGCCGAAGCCGGCGCCGACGCCGACGCCGACGGCCGACGCCGACGCCGACGCCGAAGCCGACGCCGACGGCCGACGCCGACGCCGACGGCCGACGCCGACGCCGACGCCGACGCCGACTCCGACTGCCGACGCCGACGCCGACGCCGACGCCGACTGCCGACTGCCGACGCCGACGCCGATGCCGACGCTGACGCCAACGCCGTCGCTGACGCCGACGCTGCCGCCGTCGGCGACGTTGTCGCCGACGCCGAAGCCGAAGCCGAAGCCGAAGCCGACGCCGACGCCGACGCCGACGACGACGACGACGCCGCCGACGCCGACGCCGACGCCGCGCCGACGCCGATGCCGATGCCGACGGCCGACGCCGACGCCGACGCCGACTGCCGACGCCGACGCCGACGCCGACGCCGACGCCGACGCCGACTGTCGACTGCCGACGCCGACGCCGATGCCGACGCCGACGCCGACGCCGCCGCTGACGCCGACGCTGGCGCCGTCGTCGACGGCGTCGCCGACGCCGAAGCCGAAGCCGGCACCGACGCCGACGCCGACGTCGACGACGACGACGACGCCGACGCCGATGCCGACGCCGACGCCGACGCCGATGCCGACTCCGACTGCCGACGCCGACGCCGATGCCGACGCCGACGCCGACGCCGTCACTGACGCCGACGCTGGCGCCGTCGTCGACGACGTCGCCGACGCCGAAGCCGAAGCCGAAGCGGATTCCGACGCCGACGCCGACGTCGACGACGACGACGCCGACGCCGACGCCGACGCCGACGCCGACGCCGACGCCGACGCCAACGCCGACGCCGACGCCGACGGCGACGCCGACGACGACGACGACGCCGACGCGGACGACGTCGGCGCCTCAAAGAGGCTGCTCGGCTTCGGGGCGCGCGCCGGGGCCGCAGCGGCGGCGCGGCGCCTGCGCGCGTCCGTTTCTGCGTGGCTCGGCTGCCACGAGGACGGCCCGGCCCTTGCCCGCGGCCGCGCACCTTGGCGCGCCCTCGACGCTCGCCGCGGCGGCGCCGGCGACGGCGACGGCGGCGTCGTCGTCGTCGTCGTCGTCGGCGTCGTCGTCGTCGTCGTCGTTTGCGGCGGCGGCGTCGTCGGCGTCGTCGTCGTCGTTTGCGGCAGCGGCGGCGGCGTCGGCGTCGGCGTCGGCGTCGGATGACGACGACGAGGGACGAGGAGCACGCGGCAGCGGCGGCTGCGACGGCGGCCGCGAGGAAAACGCGGCAGCGAGGAGGACAGTGACGACTGCGGGTATGCGAGGATCTAGGTTTGATTCTTTTGTTCCCAACCATCCTGTGGTGTTGGGTCCTCGTTTCCAAGCAGCAGCGCTCCGCGTCTCCTCCTTTCCTCCGCGCCCTCCTCCTCCTCCTCCTCGCATCCCTTTCCTCTGCCCTCCGCATGTGTCTGTAATGGCACAGCCCTCACACGTTTCGTGGTCCCAAAGGGAGCTCCTCCGAAGGCCCTAGTCCCTAGCGGCAGGGTTCGCATGCGCCCCCCCGCACTATTTTGGCACACCCCTCAAACGTGTCGGCCCCATAGGGAGCTTCTCCAAAGGCCGCAGTGGCAGGGTTCGCATGAGTATCTCCGCCCCATTGCGGCGCACCCCTCACGCGTTTCTTGGCCGCGTAGGGAGCTCGTCCCAAGGCCCCAGTTGCAGGGTTCACATGCGTCCCCCGCCCCGTTCACATGTGGTGTTGGGTTTTTGTGTTGAATCAGCAGCGCCCCGCGTCTCCTCCTCTCCTCCTCGCCCTCTTCCTCCCATCCGTCCGCATGCTCTGTCTCGGCACACCTCTCACACATTTCGTGGCCCATAAGGAGCTCCTCCGAAGGCCCCAGCAGCCGCGGCCGAATGCGTCTCCCCCACCCATTAAGGCAAACCCTCACGCGTTTCGTTGCCCCAAAGGCACCTCCACCGAAAACCGTATCCACATCGTGGTGCTCACACCTGCATGTGGTTGGGTCCTTCGCCAGGATAATTGTTTCCAACCATCCTGTGGTGTTGGGTCCTCGTTTTGTTCCAGTAGCGCCCCGCGTCACTCCTTCTCACCTCCTCCCCCTCTTCCCTCCTCCCTCGATGCCAGCTTCGCACACCCCTCACATATTTCGTGGCCCCATAAGGATCTCCACCGAATGCCCCAATGGGGGGTTCGCATGGCGCCACAGCGCCCATTTCGGCACACCCTCATACATTTCGTGGACCCTTGAGGAGCTCCACCGAAAGCCCCAGTGGCAGGGTTTGCATGGCGGCGCTGGACCCATTTCGGCACACCTCTCACACGCTTCCTGGCCCCATAGGGAGCTCCACCGAAAGCCCCAGTGGCAGGGTTCGCATGCGTCCGCCCGCCCCAACGCGGGACACCTCGTTGCCTCATAGGTAGCTTCTCCGAAGGCCCCAGTAGCAAGATTCGCATGCGTCCCCCGCACAATTTCTATACACGGCTTACACGTTTCGTGTTCCCATGCGGAGCTCCTCCGAAGGCCTCAGTGGCAGGGTTCGCATGCGTCCCCCAGCCCCACTACGGCGCGCGCCTTGCGCGTTTATGCCCCATAGGAGCTCGTCCGAAGGCCCCGGTGGCAGGTTTTTGCATGAGTTCCCCCGCCCTATCTCGGCGCACTTCTCACGCGCTTCGTGGCCCCATGGGGAGCTCCTCCGAATGCCTCCGTGGCAGGGTCCGCATGCGTCCCCCTGCCCCATTACGGCACACCCCTCACAGGTTTCGTGGCCCTATGGGGAGCTTCTCCGAAGGCCCCAGAGGCAGGGTTCACGTGCGTCCCCCCGCCCCCGTTCACATGTGGTGTTGGGTCCTCGTTTTGAATCAGCAGCGCTCTGCGTCTCCTCCTCTCCTCCCCGCCCCCTCTTCCTCCTCCTCCTCCTCCTCCTCCTCCTCCTCCTCCTCCTCCCATCCTTTTCTTCTGCCGTCCGCATTCTCTGTTTCGGCAAGCCTCTCACCACTTCGTGGCCCTATAGGAGCTTCTCCGAAGGCCTCAATGGCCGCGGCCGCATGCGTCTCCTCCGCCCCACTACGGCACACCCATCAAGCGTTTCGTTGCCCCAAAGGGACCTCCGCCGAAAACAGTACACACCACGCGGTGCTTGCAACCGTGTACGGTTGGGTCCTTCGCCAGGGTAATTGTTCCCAACCATCCTGTGGTGTTGGGTCCTCGCTTTGATTCAGCAGCGCCCCGCGTCATTCCTCCTCTTCACCTCCTCCCTCGATGCCATCTTCGCACACCCCTCACACGTTTCGTGGCCCCATAGGGGTTTCCACCGAATGCCCCAATGGGGGGTTCACATGGCGCCACAGCGCTCATTTCGGCACACCCCTCATACATGTCGTGGACCCTTGAGGAGCTCCACCGAAAGCCCCAGTGGCAGGGTTTGCATGGCGGCGCTGGACCCATTTCGGCACACCTCTCCTCCGTGTGCTGACCCCAGAGGCCCCCCCACACGTTTCGTGATCCTTTAGGGAGCTCCACCGAAAGCCCCAGTGGCAGGTTTCGCATGGCGGCACCGGACCCATTTCGGCACACTGCTTATTCGTTTCCTGGCCCACAGGCACCCCCACACGTTTCGTGACCCCATGTGGAGTTCCACGGAAAGCCCAAGATGCAGGAATCGTATGGCGGTGCCGTACCCATTTCGGCACACCCCCTGCACGTTCTGGGGCCCCATTGGGAGCTCCTCTGGAGGCCCCAGTGCGAGGGTTCGCATGGTGCCATCGGATCCATGTCGGTAAACCTTTTGCATGTTTATTGGTCCCATAGGAGCTCCTCCGAAGGCCACAGTGGCAGGGGTTCGCATGAGTTCCCCGCCCCATCTCGGCACACCTGTCACACGTTTCGTGACCCCATAGGGAGCTTCTCCGAAGGCCCCAATGGCAGGGTTTGCATGCGTCCTCGTTCTGGATCCGCAACGCGCCGAGTTACTCCTCCTCACCTCCTCCCCCTCCTCCCTTCTCCCTCCTCGTCGTGATCTCTGCACATTTCCCACACGTCTCGTGGCCCCATAGGGAGCTCCACCGAGTGCCCCAGTGAGGGGTCGCATGGCGGCACCGCAGACATCTCGGCATGCCCTTCACACGCTCTGTGGCCCCTTGGGGAGCTCCACCTCGGGCCTCAGTGGCAGTGCTCGCACGGTGCCAGACCCCTTTCGGCACACCCTTCACACGTTTCGTGGTCCCATAGGGAGCTCCAGCGAAGGCCACAGTGGGAGGGAGGGCTCGCATGGCGGCATCGGGCCCATGTTTTTACACCCCTCCAGCGTTTTGTGGCTCACACGTTTCGTGGCTTTGAACGGCTGCGCCCCGTACCTCAAGCCCCCTTCTTTCCCCCCCCTCTAGTCTCGAAGGTTGGCTCTGCCTTCGGGCACGCTGTCGGGACCCATGTTCTGGCAGAGCGTTTCCGGAACATGCCCTTTTCCATGCCTGACTTGTCGATGCTGTAACACATTCGTGCTTGAGTGTGCCACTTGCCCGGCATAAGTATGCTGCCCCGCTCCCGCGTACACCATCGCAGTTTAGGGGCGAAATGGCTGAGTGAAGCGTAAGACGCTGCCTGACGAGGGCGTGAACACAAACACATCCATCGTGCGAATTTGTGAGAGTATATCGACCTGAGATGTGTTTGGTATTTTGTGCAGATTCATACTGTTGGGGACGGAGTGGCGTGCTTTGATAACAAAACACAGATCGCTTGTCCAGCTTGGACAGGACGCGGGCCCGCCGCGCGGCGCACGGGCGCCCCCTTGAGCGGAGGGAGACTGCCCCAGCGAGGGGGCAGGCCCACCAGACGGCCTTGAGCCAGAGGCTACGGACCTGGTGGGGATACGCGAAGCGTAACCTACTTGCTGAAGTTCGGATCGTGTCAGGCTGCAGCCCAGTGTCAGTCGCCAGCTGCCTGCCTGCCGCCCTGTCTTTGGAGCTCCGGGTGAATCCTTCACGCAGAGTTGCGGATGCAACAAGAAGCTGCCCCCCCCCAGAGAGCCCCTCACAGGCACACACACACACCTACAGTTTTTTGTTTATTTATATATATATATTAAAATATAATTGTATTTTATTTTATTTTATTTTTATTTTCTAATATATATATATATATATATATGTATATATATATATACACATACTCTCTGGGCCTCCTGGATCGCCCTCGTGGCCGCGGCTGGGTCCGCCTCGAAATTCAGGGCGGAGCGCACCCAGGACGGGTCCAGGGGTCGAGTCTTGAGGCCAACCACCAAGACCTCCGACGTCTCAGCAAACTCGCTCGAGGCGGAGGGCTTCCGCCATTTTCAGTCCTTGGGATCCTTCGTGGCCCCCGGGACGCATCAACTCCGAAGTGAACAACTGGCCCCGGGGAGCGGGTCTGGAGCTCCAGGGACTCCGCATGTCAAACATACGGCGTCGCAGCTTTGGACTTGAAGAGCGCGGGGAGGGGTGGGTGCGGGGCCCCAGCGGGGTGACCGCATGCCCCCAGAGGTCCCCGGAGGGCCGTGGAGTTCGTCATAGGCTCGGACAAAAAGAGCAAACAGAGTATCAACCACCTCGATCTCCTCGATGCTCGATCTTCCTCCTCCTTTGCGCACGTGGGAGCTTGGGGAGCAGATCGAGGCTGGAGCCAGCGGCGAAGCAGAGGAGAGGGCGCGCGGCGCCGTGGTGGCGACTGCGGTCTGCGCTCGCCGAGGCCGCGCGGTCGGTGAATGCGAGGATCTGGAGACAAGGAGCATCATTCTGGGCCTCTTAGATGGGGTCCGAGTAGATGAAGTCGGAGGGTCGAGTCGGATCGCCGATGCATCGGCGATGCGGCTCGATGTGGAGCCCGTGTTTCCCCACGCCGGCGTCGCCGATGCGTCGCCGACGTCGACAATGCATCGCCGATGCATCGCCGATACATCGGCGATGCATTGGCGATGCGGCGCGATCCTTCGACCCCATCTACTCGGACCCCATCTAGGAGGCCTCTAGCATCGGAGGTTGGCAGACTCCCCCACCTTGCGAAACCGCTTAGCGAGTTGTCCTCTCTCGGTCCTCGAGGGGGTGCTGCGGCCGCATCTTTTGCGGGCCTGCGCCCGCGGGGTCTGGTCCTGGGCCGTTCTCGCTGGGGCGCTTCACTTTTTAACCAGGGTTCCGTGCAGCTCTGGGAGCACACAGCGCGTCATACTCTGGTTGTGGTTGATGGGGTGTGCTTGGGAGCTGCCAAGTTCTGAGGTGATAGTTGGCGGGGGCAGCGCGGACAGCACAAGCAGGCCTTGCACTTTCCAGTGCCCGTTGTGTTACCCAAAGGCCACGGTGAAGCGAGTAGCCGGCCAGGGCGGGAAGACGAAGTCCCAGAAGAGTTGTCTCCAGTTTGAGCTACAGCACATGCACACTGCCATCCGTGTGAAATGACAGACCAGCGCGCGGGTATGGTTTGACAAGTTCAGCACTGCGGTGCTACTATCATATACGCCTCTGCGCCAGGATGCCCGCCACCAGCGCAAGCAGCTGGCGAAGCGCGCTGCTTTTCGAGTATGGGCGCGCTGGTTCACAGGGGATAGTGGGGAGAGGTGACGATATCATCAACGCCATGCCTGGATGATTGAATTGCCTGCCCTGATCCGATTTCATGCGTTAGTGTAGTATCATTTGCTGGGGATCAGGAGACCTCGTCTGCTTCGTGTGCGTCTTTTTGCTTTCTGCCTGTGTCGAGTCATGACGTCGACCCCCCAGGCACGGGGTGAGGAAGTCTGGCTCGACGGCTGTTCGCTTCTCCGTCCCCTACCCCCCTGTTAAGGGGGAGATCGAGGAGGACAAGAAGGAGGGGAGGCGAGAGGAAGAAGGGGGACGAGGAGGAGGAGGAGGAGGAGGAGAAGGATAAGGAGGAGGAGGAGGAGGAGGAGGAGGAGGACTGAGATGAAAAGGGCTGAGAGGAGGAGGCGGAGGGGGGGCGCGGATGGCGGCGAGGAGGGTCTTTGCTGCTAGAGCTAGACCGACACTCTTGCCTCAGCTAGAGCGCCTCAGCTAGAGCTAAACCGACACTCTTGCCTCAGCCGACCGTCACGGAACGATATGAGCGGGCGGGCACAGTAAAAGGGCGTGCTTCGCACCCGCTCGCAGCTCAGTTCAGAATCCTCTCCCAGCAGGCCTCGCACTCCCACTGTAAGAGAGGGAGAGTGGCACGCCTCGCCATAGGGCGGAGCTCGACGTCATAAGGGGTGCCCGCGTCGGCGCAGGAGCGAGGGGCGATACTCGGCCGTGGGGTTGGCAGGGGCCGTGCCACACGTAGGGCGACGAAATCTATACATATCCTCTGCTCTCTGGCCAGGGCCATTCTGAACCAAGCAGTGGTATATACGCCACGCCCTCCTGGCTTCGCCAGGAGGGCGTATACACAGCTCCTGGGCCCAGTAAGGGCCTGGCCACGGGGCAGTGGATATGTATACATTTCGTCGCACAAACACGGCTAGACAAGCTTGCATTTCCGCTCGCTTGGAAACACGCCGCACCGGTCGCAGAACAGGCACTGGCACGCACGATGAGGCTCGCGCCCCAGGGCCTGCACGCGAATCGGGGGCGGGATCAGGTGCTCTTCTTCCTCCCCCCCCTCCCCGAGACGACCCAACGACGGTCCGCCCTCACCTTCCTCATTCAGGAGGGAAAGAAACACACAGACACAATTAATCGTCGAGTCCCAGGAAAATATGGGAAAATATGGGAATTGGGCGGGAAGACAAAAACCCATAAAATATGGGAAAATATGGGGAATCATTTTATTTGTGTGTGTTTATTTGTGTGTCCCAGGGCCCCTTCACTCATGCAAGGGCGGCGCTGCAGGGCGCGCTTGCACTCCTGGGACGGAGCATCGCGGCTGCAGACAGTGCAGCGCCGGGCACCGCGGCCCCAGGCCAGGGCTGTGCTCTCCGGCCCCCGCGCGCGGGTCCTGGCGGCGTGGGCGCGTCCCTATGGAGCCTGGCGGCGGGCCTCCCCGTGGAATCCTCGAAAGTTTGAAGTCCGCTCCGAATTCGTCGTCGTCGTCGTCGTCGAATTCGTCGTCGAAGTCGTCGTCGTCGTATTCGAATTCGTCGTCGTCGTCGAATTCGTCGTCGTCGTCGTCGCCGGGCGGCCTTGGCGACGCGCTCGCTGGCGAGGCGCTCCGCCTCCGCCGCGGCGACCCTGGCCCGCCACCAACGTGAGAACAGCCTGCACCTCTTCAGAGCGAGAGGTCCAGGTGTCAGTTTTCCACTGGGGGAGCGCTTGTAAATCAGTCTCAGCTTCAGCCTCGGCGTCAGCCAGGTGGTTGCCGATAAACGGACGGCTCTCTCGAGAGTCGTCCGCGGGGCCCTTGCGGAAACCAAATGCGGGTCCAGAGATCGGCATGGGGCCGTTGGGGGGAGCGGCACCATTTTTGCCCGCGCTTGAGACCTCTGACCTGTACTGTTGTCGATACCGACTCGCAACGGTGAGCAGACTCCCCCCAGAAGCTCCATGAGACTGTACAATTCAGAACGGAGGACAGACGGTTGGCACCTGAGCGCTGGAAGCGAACCATGCATGGCCTTGACGGCCGCCCCCTCTGGCCCAGGGAAACGCATCCCGAGCCGAAGCTCTCGAGCCCAGGGGGGCCCTTGCCCGACCCATCGGAGTACGTAAGTAAAGCGATCGGAGTACGTAAGTAAAGCGGCCCCGAGATCAAGGGGGGGAGTCCCAGATCGGCGCTGAGCTCTCTCTGGGCCGGCATCCTTTGCCAGACGCGGATCCTCCGAGGCATGCTCTGCCAGACCGCGGGAGGAGAGAGGAGGGACCCGGAGGATGGGGCCTCCGCGCGATGCAGATCCCGGAAGGTCCTCGGCAGTCCGCTGCGTCGGGGGGGGGGATGGGGAGAGGGCGAGGAGGCACGGGAGGACGAGGGGGGAGAGGCCGTCGACCTCCCGCCCTCCCCGCCCCCCCGTCCAGATCGGCTTCCTCCCCGGGCCCCCCCCCCCGGGCTTCGCGACCTTCCGCCCCGCCATCACCGCGTCGCCCGCCTAGTCTCGACACGGCTCCCCGTGCCTCCCACCCCTGGGCGTGCCCGATGATGTGTTCGTGAGGATGAAAAGGCATGTTCGTGTTCGGATGTTCGCCAACTGTCCACCGACGGTTCAGAACCATCTGTTCGCGACCTCCGAGCCCCCAGGGGCCTTGTCCACGGCCGCTCGGCGGAGAGGGAACAGGGCTTTTCAAACCGAGCGGCTCGCAAACGGCTCGAGAACGATGTCCAGGTCAGCCCCAGTCGGCGGCGCGCCTGGGGGGGAGTGGCAAGGGCTGGGCGTTCTCAGAAGGCTCGGAAGTCCCTGGGCCTTCGAGAAGTTCTCTGAGCCTCCCCCGAAGACGCAGAAAACTTTTCAGAGGGCGCGAGGGCTTCTGAGAAGTCCCGCCGCCTTCTGAGCAGGCCTTCTCCTTCTCACTTCCCCCCTTGCTCGCCGCCGATAGTCCCACCCTCATCTTCTCGGAGTCCAGCATGAGGGGTGGAGGCGCCGCGGGAGGCAGACCCAACAGCAGTTACGTGCTTTTATTGTTGTCGGTCGCGGGGTCGCTGGCGAACGCGCGGCGCGGTCGAAGCCTGAGCGGGGTCGCTACAGGGCGAATCTACACGAGAGCAGTTCGAATTATTGGTCGAAGAACAAGAATCAGAGGAGGAAAATGTATATAGCACCCCGCAATTGCGGATAAGAGTGAGGGGGCGGGCGCGGGCGACGCGGGCGTCGTCAAGCCGGCGGACCTCGTGGCCCCCACCTTCCTTGTCGATGGCGCTCTCCTCCTCCTCCTCCTCTCCTCCTCCTCCTCTTCCTCCTCCTCCTCCTCCGCCTCCTACTCCTCCTCCTCCTCGTCCTCGTCCTCGTTCTCATCGTCATCGTCGTCCTCCTCCTCCACCTCGTCCTCCTCCTCCTCCGCTTCTTCCTCGTCCTCCCTCTCCCCCCCTCGTCCTTCCATCATCGTCCTCCCATTGTCGTCATGTTCCTCCTCGTCGTCCTCCTCCTCTTCCCCCCCTCCCGATCCTCCACCCTCCTCCTTTTCGTCGTCGTCGTCGACGTCATCGTCGTCGTCCCCTCCCTCCTCCTCCTCCTCCTGCTGCTCCTCCTCCTCCTTCTCCTGCTGCTCCTCCTCCTCCTCCTCCTCCTCCTCCTCCTCCTCCTCCCCCTCCTCGTCCTCCTGCAAAAGCAGCCCGCCGCAGGCGCCGAAAAAATTGGTTTGTACACTGAACGTGGTTTGGGTCGCGGGTGGGCCGCGGGTTCTCCACCGGGAACGAATGCAAAAGATGCTCGCCGCAGGCGCCGAAAAAATTGGTTTGTACCCTGAACGTGGTCGCGGGTGGGCCGCGGTCTCTCCACCTAGAACGATTCAAAAGATGCCCGCCGCAGGCGCCGAAAAATGTGGTTTGTACCCTGAACGTGGTTTGGGTCGCGGGTTGGTCGCGAGTTGATCGCGGGGTGGGTCGCGGGCTCTCCACCTGGAAGGAATGCAAAAAAAGCCCGCCGCAGGCGCCGAAAATGTTGGTTTGTACCTTGAACGTGGTTTGGGTCGAAGGTGGGTCGCGGGTGGGTCGCGGGGTGAGTCGCGGGTGGGTCGCGGGCGGGTCGCGGGTGGGTCGCGGGCGGGTCGCGGGTGGGTCGCGGGGTGGGCCGCGGGCGGGTCGCGGGGTGGGTCGCGGGTGGGTCGCGGGTGGGTCGCGGGGTGGGCCGCGGGGTGGGTCGCGGGGTGGGTCGCGGGTGGGTCGCGGGTGGGTCGCAGGGTGGGTCGCAGGGTGGGTCGCGGGGTGGGTCGCGGGGTGGGTCGCGGGGTGGGTCGCGGGTGGGTCGCGGGTGGGTCGCGGGTGGGTCGCGGGTGGGTCGCGGGGTGGGTCGCGGGTGGGTCGCGGGGCGGTTTGCGGGTGGGACGACGACAACAAACAACAACAACAAACAACAACAACAACAACAACAACAACACGAGTCCGCACCGCGGAATCTCACTTCAGCCACGCACCCAGGGACAATGAATGACCGTTCGGCCCCCTCACTCTGACCTGTACCTCTACCCTTTACCTCTACCCTTCGCTCATTTTCCCCTGTTTGGGCCTCCTGGGAGGCCCTCGTCGCCACCGCTGGATTCGCCTCGAAATTCTTGGTCAGAACGCACCCTGGGAGAGGTCTGGGGAGTAGCGGTATCAGTACTTTTTGGTTTCCCCAGAAAGCCTCGACGCCAAAATCCGAATCCTATCCTCGCTGGTCAACGATTCAGGCAGCTCGATGGGCAGCGGGGGTATGGTTCTGAATTCCTCGAATGCGTGGCGAAATCCGAGCCGTAACCTCGCCCCCCATCGATTCGGGAGAATCATTGGTTGGAGGGGGTAGGGTTCGTTTGGTCGTCACCCGAAACATCGGCATTCATGTAAACTTTTGGAGCTCCGCGCAGATTTCTTGGATCGGCGCTGAATCCTTCTCCCTGGCACGCGGAGCGCGCCAGGGGCCGCGCCGGAGGCGCCGCCAGGGGCCGCGCCGGAGGCGCCGCCAGGGGTGACCAGCGC